CTTACACTGCTAAATTAGGGATGGCTAGCGCAGATAGCCCTCATGTAGCTTTGCGCAAAATTCAAAACAAACCCACTCACCTCTTTCCCTTTTTGGAAATACTTGCTTATGTACACCCACTTTGCTCTATCATGCGTTCATAACCAATCAAAACAGAATTTCTCCTACATGGTTTTCTCAGTTTTTTTAAGGTGGGAATTTAACAACATGATTATTTCTTTTGTCTCCAATGTCAGAAGGAAGGGGTAAGTGAAAATGTTATTAAAAAAACAATATTTATTTAGACCCAGATATTTACTGTTCAATGTTTTTAGAAAAATAACTGAAATTTAAGAACTTATTTGTAAATAGTAATAACATATATATATATATGTATGTATGTATGTAATGTATTATAACTGAAATGTGACTGTATTTTACAAAATATTGGTCCATTAGAACATTAGAACTTTGTAAAGTCCTGTTTTATGCTATTGGATACACTGACATGAGTGCATGTGTGCTGTGTCCTTGCAGCTTTTGTAATGTTAGTCAGACATGGCTAAAAAAGTCAATAAAATAAAAATAATAAATATATATAATTAGGCTTAAACATTTGTGGCTTTGTGTTGTAATTTGTAGTCAATTTTAGAATGAAAAAAGCATAATATATATATATTTACAATAGTGAAAATAAAAGATAAAATATAAAGTTATAAATAAATGTAAAATCTGGAAGTTATAGGGATTTTGCAAGTGAAATTTAATAATATTCTGATGCATAAAAAAAATTTTAATCTTAAAGTCAAAATTACTTTGCATGTTGGATAGTCAACATTCAAAAAAGAAAAAATGCATGAGAAAATAATTGCTTAAAAAATCTTAAAACTTAATAAAAAAATGATATTTTGTGTATGAAAGCTTTGTAATGTTTACTGATAATCTGCCACATTTCATGAAGATACACTTGTTGTACTAAAAGTTATAGTATGAAAATTATAAAAAGCACAAAATGTTTAAGAGGTTGGTCTCTGGGACTAATCCTACAGTGAAAGGGTTAAGTAATAAAGTAAGAGGTTTGTTTCATATTCAGACTTTCGTAAATAAACTTATGATTCTCAATGATATTTTTGTTGAAAATGTTTTCCATAGAAGAAATAGTTTTAGTACATAATTAATCATTTTAAATATGTTTTTTCTTTATAATTGGACCTGGTACACCCTAGTAGTTAGCATGCCATCAAAAGATCCAAAGTTCACACTGCAATGCTGCTAAATGTGCTCCAAACTCTCAACTGTAGATGCATTATAAGAATGAAAATCAATAATGTTATTTGGTTCAAAGCCCTTGTGGCTATAGGTGCAGCTGATTGGCTACTTTCCCTCTGGTCAGTACTTCAAAATTAAGGATAGCTTTTCCTGGATTCTGTGAATTTTTGACATAAATATTTGGCCCATGTGTGCATAAATTCCCATTCAACTTGAAAATATTATGATATATAAGCATATCATGTTTTCCATCTGTATTAGTTATATACAAATTTCTAAAATTTCAATTTTTTCATTTATTTAGTGTGAATGCAATTTTTGCACAAGCATGTGGTCCAGAAAGTCCTTGAGATTACTTTGTTCTCTGTAGTAGATAATGTCTGTTCTGTCTGAGAGGATACTGCAATAACATGTAGCATCCAGGTCAAAAGATTAGTGACTGTAATATCCTTACTGATTGAGTTGATGTTGTATGAATGTTACAGCTGACCAAAACGATGAGAAGCCACAGTTCATGAGGTGACTGTTGAGTGGACAAAGAAACTGAGCTTATTTGTTGAATTCTGATGCACTTTATTAGTTCAGTTCTAACTGTAGTTCTTCAATTAATAACATGCTTTAAGACCATGATGTTTAGTTCCACAGAAGTCTGTCCTGAGAGAGAAAAAAAGTTGTGAAGCTAATCACAATCCAATAGAAACAACTTTTTTTTCTTGTGTGCAAATATATACACTGCATTTTTTTTCTGTTTGTTACAAAATAAAAATTATGTTTGTTTCTTTAAAGTTTTATTGTCTCATTATCTTACGTACACTAGGGAAACTTATCCAACACAGATTACTTTCTTTATTTCCTGAATGAATCTGCTGTTATTAGCATGTCTAACTATCTGATATTTGTCAAGAACTCAGTGTCCATCTGAAAATACTACAGTATCAATAACTTTATTTAAAATTACCCTGTAATTACTTGTAACCAAAATATTATTTTGTCTATAGATTAGATATACATAAAAGTCAGTCTAAAAACAATCATTGACATATCTCAAGTAGCTACCTGACTGGTAGGAAATGCCCCTAATTCTGGCCACTAATTTAGATGCCTCATATTGTCAGTTATACATTTTTAGAGTCAAGCTTAATTTAGTGATTATTTTCCAAAGAATTCTGACTACTATAACTTATATCATGGGTCATAAAAAGAAAAATATAGTTTTTTATTTGTATGATGTAAAATTTTTACATCAATTTTTAATTAAAATCTCCTTACTGAAAAAATAAATATAACTTTGAATTTATTTTCCTCGGTTTCTTATGAATAGTTCTTAATGTAGTCTTTTTTGTTGAATCAGTTGGAAGCAGCTGTAATAGTTATTACTAAACTTACTTTTATGCATATTTAATTTAAAATAATAATGTGACTTAGAACTGCAAATATTATAGATTGAAACATTTTTGCTGTTATTTTTTCTACAGATGTTACTTTTAAACATCAACTGAAAATATTTTTGCTCTGATAATTTGTTATTGACTTTTTAGATAAAAAATTTGGTAAACAAAGTTTCACTTGTGAATAGAAGGATAATAATTTTTATGTTTTTTTCTTTTAGACTCAACGAAGGTAGAGGAAAGGAACAGTTTGAACTAATTTTGCGACAGTTGTTAACATCTATTACTGCCATGATGACTTATGACACAGATAAAACTTTAACTGTTCAAGCAGCCTGTCTAAAGTATATTCCCTGCACGATCACAGATTTGCTTCTGGTGTATGATGCTGAGGAACTCAGGTAAGTATTACTGTAGTACTTTGCACTAAAATCTGGTGTAAAAATGAAACTTTTCTTAACCATCAACATTTTAGTATCTAACTGAAGTTACAATATTATCATAAGATTTTGTTTTAGACAACAAAACAGAGTAATGTTTTGCTTGGAGTATCATAACTCAGTAGAAAATAGTTGGTGAATCCTGGATTTGTGGTGTTGGGGAGGATGTTCTTCCACCAGGACATGAAATGTTTTGAAAACATTCAATTTTTTTATTAGGTCTAAGGGCTTGGTAGTTCATAAAAAAGAGGGGGCTTGCAAGGATTTTTGGAAAGTGGGGAGATGAAACTCTCTGAAAAAATTTGCTTTATTTATTAAGTCTAAGGGTACATCAAAAAGGAGAGGGGTTTCAACCTTCCTATGGATCTGCTAGTACTAGTTATTATTATAGTATTCTGAAAGCACAGTAATTCTCTTTGCTTTAGAAGAAGTTAGTAGCTATTTTACTACTATAAACAAGTTAAATTATCAGAGTAGTTGCACAGTAAATAAAGATAGTTATTACAAAAGCTGACTAAAAAGAAAGAACTGTTGAATCATCCATATTTAGCTAGTGTTTTCATTTAAGATTTTGAGTTTTAATATTCAGTTAGGGTTTTGAGTTTCCATAATCAGCTAAGGTTTTTCTATTTTCATATTCAGTAGGGAGGATTTCAGTTTTTATATTCAAATAGGTCTTAGTTTTCATATTCAACTGGGGTTTTGTTTTCAGTTTTAATTTTCTGCTATGGTTTCCATATTCACTGAGTTTTCAGTTTTCATATTCAACTTAGGTTTTACGTTTTCAAATTCTGGTAGAGTTTTGAGTTATTTATATCAAGGATTTTCAGTTTTCATATTCAGTTAGGGTTTTGATTTTTTTATATTCAGCTAAAGGTTTTAGTTTGGCTATTTTATTTTCTGCTGAAATATTTCATGAAGCTGTATATGTCGTACAAAGAGGCTTGAAGTTCATTTGTATGGTTTTCTGCAGAAGTATATGTTGAAGCTGTTTGTAGCCTACAAAAAAGACGTTTCATTATTTGTTTTCATTATCTACTTAAAGATCTTTCTCAGGATAAAAAAATATTTGTTGGAATTGTGAAATCTCAGCTTTGGAATGTTATCAAAGGTCTTCCAATGTTTTAGGAAGTCTGAGATAATGACTGAACAGAGATACGTGAACCTATCATTTGTATGTAAAGGGTTAACTCATATGACTAAAAAAATATTTGTTAGTTTTAAAATCTGCAGTCTGAAATCTTATTAGAAAAGAAGAATAACTTTTACCTGGTGAAATGTATCAATTTGAAGTACTTTGTGGTTTTACAGCAATAAATATGCTGTTTTGAATAATTCTTTAACACACGTTGTATGAGTCAAGGATGGTCAGTTTACTATCTGGATGTTGGTTACCAAAAATTTTCCAATGCGGAAACTGTAAAAAACCATGTATTTAGACTTATCTTGAACTAAGAAACTCTCACAACTTTTTTCCAAAAAATTGAACAAATATTTAAAAGTTATGCCACTTTGTTTCCAAGTGGATGTGCATAGTAAAGCACATAGGCATGGTAATACAGTTACTATGGGATGGTAGCTGTTTCACTCTTTTTCTTTTGCTGTGACCACGCTCAAAAAACTAATGACTTCAGTTGATCATCTCTTGGGAAATTGTCATTGTGAACATCGTCTTTATGCCACACCTTGAGCTTGCATACTGCATTTTTAGGTTATATTGAATCAATTAGGATATCTACATCACAATTCGGCAAGCATTCTTCTGGAGCCCATTTTATTTCTCTTATCCTTGAGACCTTTCTTAAACATTTCAATAACTTCGTCCTTAAATTGATCTATATACTTTTGGTCATAAATTTTACCATGTGGTGGAAGTAACACTCAACCAAGAGTAAATTCCTCCACAAAGTAACTCAAATTTGATTTACTTTTTGTGCCCATTTCTGAATTAACAGGGGATTCATTGGCTGCTTCCCACCATGTTTTTGAGATATTTTTACTGCTTCGGATAATCTGTCATGGCTGCATTTAAAGCATATTCCACAATGTGGATGCATGTATTTGCTGGTTAAATGTTTCATGAGAGTTACCTTACTGTTCCCTACCACATTTTACTTCACCTGGCCATCTACAGAATTGTTGATTCAGTAAAAGCAATGCCAAAAGACCACATTTCAGAATCATCACAATGTTTTAGCAAGAAACAAAAAAAATGCCACAAATGGGTTATAATTTCTTGATCAACAACTAGACCCCCCTTGGCTCATATGAGGTGTGTTAAAAGCTTTCATATATAAAGAATACTCTTTTCCTTATTCACTCACATATTTTGACATTTTTAATATTTTGATAAGTGTATATTATGATACTGAAAGATGTTTTGCAAAATACATGAGAATTAAAATAACACTCTCAAACTCTGTTGCATAACCACTCTAAAATAGGAAGAAACATCACAAGATTTTAATATTTTAAGCTTTAACAGCTGTATTTTTTTTTTTTTTTTTTTTTTTTTTTTTTTTTTTTTTTTTTTTTTTTTT